GGGGGGGCCCCCCCCCCCCAGTGCACAAATTTTTGTGCACCGGGCCTCTAGTATATATATATATCCATAAAACCACCATCATCTAAAACATTTACTAGTAAATAATTCATTAATATCAAGTCAGTGTTCACAATTCTTCATTTTTTCCAGCTTGCTCAAACTGAGATGTAAATTAAGCCTATATATTGCAATGAACTGAAATGTCTCTTACATGTCTTTTAATCCACAGGTGCATCCTCCAAAATTCCCTCCCCCCTTGCTACTTTTTGTTAAAGAATTGAGGTTGCTTGTCCTCTCAGGGTTTCCCAGCCTAAATTTTCCTAAAGCTTGTGTCCCGGTGGTGTAAGTTTGTTTTTAAATATGTTTTTTGTTTATTTCAGAGAGGGAGAAAGAGATAGAGACATCAATGATGAAAGAGAATTATTGATTGGCTGACTCCTGCATGCCCCCTACTGGGGATTGAGCCTGCAACCTGGATGTGCTCTGATGGGGAATCGAACTGTGACCTACTGGTTCATAGGTCAATACTCAACCACTGACCCACACTGGCCAGGGCCTGTGGTGTAAGTTTAATGCTGTATTTTATATTCCTATAAACTGCTACTAGGTATGGAGGCTTGATTTGTTTTGTCAAGAATTTATAGGTCATGGTGTCCATCAAGGGGATACATAATTCCTGGTTATCTTTCTTTTTGTGATGTTAGCTACTACTTATGATCGTCACTAAGATCTCTCTTCATTATTAGGGCTCCAAACGGCTGACATTCAAATTTATTCATTTTTTCTTCATTCAGAGGCTAAACACGTCTATAAGGGAGAGTTTCCTTCATGAAGTGTTTGGTCACCTTGAGGTGCAGTTTGTTTATGAAAGGCAGGACAGATGTGTGCCTCTTTTCCTTTATTTACCAGTTTCTAAAGTAGTGAGTAGGTCCTCTAGTATCCTCCAAAGATGACCAATGAGTCATTTTAAAGTATCATTATGAATTCATGGATTAAACATACTTCATGTGTTTAAATTTGTTGCAGTGATTATCTCTGCATCTTTGGCCAGTGGAAGCCAAGTTGGCTCCTGCGTCCAGCGAACATGATCAGGTGCTTTGGATAAGACATATTAGCACTGCCCTGATCCAGAAAGCCCTTCCATTAGGTCCATGCATGTTTCTAGAAGGGGAGCTGGTGACCTAAGAAATCATTACCAAGTTCTCCCCACTGTTTTCATCAACTTTCTCTTTTGCTCAAAATCTTCAAACTGCTTGAGATTGGACCCCAATTCCTCTACCTTGCCAAAGCTCTGCCTGACAGAATGCTCCACTTCCCATTCTCCCTGAAGAGATCACTGCCACTGCTCACAAGCTGCCCGCTCCCTGTCCCCCATGTGGGATCCACCTGCAGAGCCTCTTCTTCCAAGAAGCGCACAACTCCGGGGGCGCCACTCACACTGTGCACAACTCCGGGGGCGCCACTCACACTGTGCACTCAGCAGCATGGAACAGTTCCCCTCTGTTGGTGCAAATCCAGCCAGTTGTAAAGTCCCAGGCTGAGTCCCAGCTCTCCTAGGAAGCCCCCAAAATAACCACACTGTCATTTGACTTTCTCATACTGCACCCATCAGTGACTGTCATTTGGGCCTACTCATTTGAATACTTACTGTCTTCAACAATCACCTAATTGTTTCGGGAGTCCCAGTCCTGGCTCCCAAGCCCCTCAAAATGTAGCCCTTACACAAATACTTGTTAAGTATTGATTTCATGGACTCAATCTGGGAGGCGGATTTGATCGTTGCTCAGTAGAGAAAATATAAGAAGATGTCATTAAATTTCAGGTTAGCAGTTTCCTAATACCAACTCCTCAGTAAAGTTATTAAAAACTGAAAACATGGTTATATAGGATTGAGGTGCGTTACAGCCAGAGTGGAAAAGCTCTTGCTTTAGCTCCAGGATGCCTGGTGTCTGCTTTTGACTTTGGTCAGGCACTGGCAAACTAGGGCCTACAGGTCAAATCTGTCCTGCACCAGTTTTTATAAACAAATCTTTACTGGAACCAACCATGCTCATTCATTTACATATCGTCTAAGGTGGCTTTCGTGCTACAACAGCAGAACTGAGAAGACACCGACATGGCCTACAAAGCATAAAACATTTACTATCTGCCCTTTACAGAAAAAGTTTGCTGATCCTTGCTCTTGGCAAAGATAAGGGTAGTGGGATTTGTGACACGTTTAAAGTCCAAAATTCCTACTGTCAACCCCCAAGGTCAGTTTCTTTACTGATAATCTGTGGTCGGCCTGGCTTGACTGCATGACCAGTGGAGCATTAAATCCCCACCGGAAACTTCTGCTTTGAGCCCTTTTAAAGCCAATATTCCTTACACAGATATCCTGTGATTCAATCTGGAGTCTAAGTGTTGTCCCTGTCTCCACGTAAGGTCCCTGGGGGGCATGAAAAAGGGGATTGTCTCTCAGACCCCCACTGTTTACTTGCACTCTCTCTTGCTGCCTGTATTGCCTTAAATGAAAGCCTTACATTGGTATTCTCTGTGGAGTCTGGTGAGTCCTTTTTAAATATCTGGCCTTGGAAAACCTTTGCAATGATAGCTCCCATTTATTTCAAGATTATTGGACTAATTGAAAAAGAAAAAGCCCAGCAAAACAGGAAAAAGTTCAATATTTACACACATCCATCCCCCTGAGTTCTCAACCCTAACTATATATTAGAGTCACCTGGGAAACTTTAAAAACAATGGTGCTTAAGCCCCACCCTAGAGACACATCCTATATAATAAAAGTCTAATATGCTAAGTGTCCAACCATTCGACCAGTCACTATGACATGCACTGACCACCAGGGGGCAGACGCTCCAATTGATAGGTTAGCTTGCTGCTGGGGTCCAGCCAATCAGGACTGAGCTAGACGGGGTGAACACGCCCTGGAGCCCTCTCGTGGTCCCTCCCCGGCCCCAATTTTGCACCAGTGGGGTCCCTCAGCCTGGCCTGTGCCCTCTCACAATCCGGGACCCCTTGGGGCATGTTGGAGAGCCAGTTTTGGCCCAGTCCCCCCAAGCCAGGCCAAGGGACCCCACTGGTGCACAAATCCGCGCACCAGGCCTTTAGTATTAAATGATTGAGTGTGCAGCCCAGGCATCTCCAGGTCCTCAGAGAATTTTAATGTGCAGCAGGACTGAGAATCACTGACATGTATGCTCCTTGTCACTAAGAAGCCTGAGAGATGAACTGCAGAATCAGCTCCACTCCTTGACATCCCCTTTGCTTACCCTAGGATGCTGTCTCCCACTGGCACCTTCAGTGGGAAAGGGAGTTTTTAGATTGGGTTAAATCTATTCCACTCAAATCAAGATTATTTGTACAAGCTGATAAACCTGAACTGACAGATTAAAAACCCCATTTTATTTTGGGTCAGTAGAATTTTCCATCTTGGCAATTACCTGCTCAACAATAGATGCCAGGCGTCCCAGTGCCAGGCCACATTCATCCCCTCGGGTCACCACGGCGCTTCCGAGTTTCACCACGATTCTCTTGGCATGCTTCAGCTCACTGCGGTGGGCAAAAGACTTGCCATGTGCGCGACTGAGGGGTACAGTGATAAATGGGATGTTGCTCCAAGAACGGACATTTCTGATGGTTGAAGGCTGGACAGGATCTGTAGCTCCCAAAGTTGAATGAAAAAAAGAAGAAAAAAAAAAAGGAAAAGAAAAACACAATATACTGTCTCATTAAGAAGATATATGCACGGCATTAACCAGTTTAGCCATCAAAAAATAGTTTTATCAGTCTTAAACAAGTAAAACCAGTATATCAAAAGTCATATCTAGCATGCACCCACTACACAGGTCACAGGTACACTCAAACACTACTGGTGAAGAGTTCAAACAAAACGATCTTTCCTGAATATGTGTTGGCAAAATACATCAAAAACCTTAAAAACGTTCACAAATCTTTGCTCTGGCTGGTGTGGCTCAGTTGGTTGGGTATTGTCCTGCGAACTGAAAGGTTGCAGGTTTGACTCCTGGTCAGGGCACCTGCCCAGGTTGCAGGCTCAATCCTAAGTAGGGGGTATGTGAGAGGCAGCTGATTGACGTTTCACTCTCACATTGATGTTTCTCTCTCTCTCTTTCCCCACACTCTTCTTCTCTAAAAAAAATTAAAAAAAAAATGTTTGCATCTTTTCATCCAGCAATTCCACATTCAGAAATTTATTCTAAGAAACTACTCAGAGATCAAAACAAAGAGATTCATCAGAAGGCTGTTCACCGGTGTTATTTATAATAGGAAAAATCGGCAGGTAAGTGTCCAAAAAAAGGGCAGATGGATTAATAAGCATTTTTAGGATTTTTAATAACACAAGAAAATGCTCATGGTATGTTTCCTAGACATGTCTAAATGCACAGAAAAAAAGATGCAGAAAATAAATCAAAACATTAATATTTTACCTCATGGATTATGAGTGATTTAATTTTCTTCTTTATTCCTATGTTTTCCAAATATATGCAGTAAAAATGCATTACTTTCATAATAAAAATACAGTATATGTGCTTTAAAAGCCATGCCACTATAAAAAGAGAGTGAGTCTGATTAGCAAAGGCAATTAAGAGCAAAGTAATTAGTAGGAATAATAAAAAATTATAACTAATCTAGCTACAAAGTTTCTCTCTGACAAGGCAGCATGAATCCAGGAAGAGTAATGTTGGAGTCAGACATTTTGTTTCTATCCCTTGGGACATCTGCCCCTAAGCAACCCTCACTGATTCCTTTCGGGGGGCGGGGGGGCAAAACTATAAGATTTCTAAGGAGGCAAAACAAAACAACAAACTACTTACCAACTACCCGTTTGCCCTCTCTCACAAATTGGGAGGTTTCCTGTTCTAGCAGGGTGCACTGCCACCAGTCAAAAGACTGCAGTTCCCAGACTTTCTTGCTCACCTCGACATGGCATGTGACTAAGTTCTGGTTAACACGATACGTATGAAAATGTTATGTGGGACTTCAAGGAATTTCCTTAAAAAGAAAAGAGCTTCCTGCGTGAGATCTGAACCCACAGCTGCCTGGTTTCAGGCTGCCAACAACCACGTCTATTTGGGCCAATTCATGGCTATTATTTGTTCCCAGATAAGTCAAGGTGCAACGCTCAGAGCCCTCCAATTACTCTACACACAGAACCATTCTGCCTCTAAGAGTCTCCTCTCCTTCTTACCCAATGTTATGTTGCCTACTGATGCCTTTTTGACTGAAATTACATTAAAGGTGAATAAAAAAATGTAAAGGAAAAGGAACAGTGCTTCCTTCTTCCCTTTGACCATCCTGCTGCTTGGAACATGGGTATGGAAGCTGTAGCTCAAACATCCACTGCGGATCGTAAGAAACCACGGCAGAACTGCGAAGCAAAAGGAGCGTGGAAGCCTGATGATTTCACGTACTCCCTGGGAGCCCTGGACTGCCTCCCTTCCTTGAGGACCCCAGGCTTCTCTCAAGGGAAAGAGAGAGAAATAGATTTCTATCCTGGTTGAGCCATTACTGTTTTGGGTTTTCTGTTACCCGCCCTGACCTAACTGTACTGAACACAGAGGAGAATGAGGGCACAGGCAGAAGGGCAGGTGAGGCCTGCACAGGGAAGAGAAGCTGGCTGTGGACGTGAGTGGTTGACAGGTGGTCTCACTCACCGTGAATGGACTTTCGCTTGGTGGGATTCCAGATTGTAAGAAGCAAGACAATATGGGCAACAGGCCACACAGGCTCTCAGCAGACTAAACTTTAGGCATCCCCTCCCCACACCAAGAGCTCTCTCTGTGTCATTACAGGCATTAATGAGTTACTAAAAGTAATCATTCTAAGTCACCTTTTGGATCGTTCTATAATTATACCATTATAGAATAACTTCTTCCACTTGAGTCAAACATTATTACCTCCATTTATATTTACAGATTTCCTCAAAATTTCCCTAGACCCACTGCCTCTCTCTCCTGACCATGCACCACTAACTCTAACTGTAATCCAGCTTCTAGCCTTTTCTCTGGGCTGTAACAATGGTGGGGACAGCAGGCAGAATCTTATTCTTGTGGATCAGAAGATCGTTGTGTTCTCCTCCCTCTCTGCCTCCTTCACACACAAACCTTCCCTCTCTTAAATAATCACTTTTTAAAGTGACTGTTTCAAGCCTGCTGGAGATACCAGAAAGATAACATGGTCTCCTTTCAGAACAGGCTTGCAGTCCAGTTGCTGGCAGAAAGCTGCTCACTAAGTCCATCATCTGGGACACCCCTGGTGCTTGGCACCCTTGCTAACAGGTGGTTTGTCTCTTCCTGCTGGGAGATCCCAGAGACCAAAGGACTGTTTGCTTTTGGGGCTAAGTTCCCTGGAGAGCTCCCTTTCTTCATTAGGTTCATCAATATAGGTAGCCTGGCTCAGTCTTCAAGGATATTACCTATCCTAAGCAATATATACACCTAAGTCTAAGCTTAAAAGTTGACCTGACAGAGAGAGAGGTGGTAGAGGGAGAGACTTACTCCCCTGGGATTTGGACCTGGGATCATCAGTGGCTGCAGAGCTCCAAGTTACTAGTACACCCAGGTATTATGTACCCTTTGACAGCTCTCAGACCAGGCCTGCTGGCTATCTTTCTCTCCTGTCACCACAGGGCGTGTCCTGTCCTGGAAGTGTGCTGACATGGGTGGAGCAGCCTGAGAGGGCACCTCAGAGACACAAGTAGTAGCATACATGTCAGTTCAGGTGATCAGATGACAGAAACCAATCAGAATCAGTCAGGCCAGGTTAGCATGAATGAGACACCTGATGCACAGCCTGTATCAGCAGAGGGTGGCTTGGCTTGGTGCCAGGCAGTCAAGGGTCGCTCTGGCTGCTGGCAACTGGGTCACAGCAGATCAGGGCTGACAAGGTTCAAGAGGCCACACAAGGCTTCAAGCACATAAAAGCTCAGTCACATCCAGTGGGCTAGATCACCAACGATAGTTCTATGGAACCCAGGGCTTTTTGGGTTTCCTGTTTAACAATACTCTCACCTCCCAGGTTGACCCTACCTTTCTTGGTTGCGTTATTTTATGTTCTGCAGTGTATTCTACTCTTTAGGGTCCATACTGAAGACTGGGAAGGCCTTGATTACTTTGGAAAAATCTAAGGCTTCTGGATGGGTAATCTCTTCCCATCTTCTAAGGAATCTTTAGGCTTTAAGTCCCAGAGAATAGCCATCGCTTCCAAGTAAGTCTAAGGGGCTACTGAGGTGTACGTGTTGGGGGTTGCGGGTGGGGGAGTAAGGTTGTCCATATTCCTCAAAGTGCCATGGATCATACTCCAAGGGAGGATAAGCCCTTGACCTTTTCAGCATCAGAGCCCTTATGCTCTGCAATCAATGAGGCTGTGTCCCAGGCCTGAACAAGAAGGAATTCTGACATCATTTCTTTCTCCCTCCTTGGCTTTCCACTTCCCTCTGTGTTTGTATGTATATGCTTTCTCACTTTGCCCTTCTAATTTCTTTAGTTCTCTTCTGCTTATCATGGTCAGTGAACACAGGGCTCCAGGCCCCCAGAAAAATCTGGATACAAAAATAGAAAAATAAATCTAGGGACAAGATCAGAAAGAGCCTCCTTCTGTGAATGAGGCTACTGAGAATAAACAATATCACCAAAAAAATACTGAAGTGAATACTTAATATATACCAAGAGCTGTGTTAACTATTCATACACCTTTATAGGGAGAGGATATATAAAAGGTCAAGTGTAGACTCTGAAGCCAGACTGCCTGGCTTGGGATCTCAACCTTCCACTTACTTGCTGTAACCTTTACCTATGGCATAAAGTTGTGAGGGAAGGAAAGAGTTAATTCACTAAGGACCTGGCACAAAATAAAAACTCAAGTATTAGCTGTTATTATAAAAAAGTGTTAGCTATCGTTGTCGTCGTCATCATCATCATCATCATTGTCATCTTACTGAATTCTCATAAGTTAATACTCATGGCTTAGGTATTATGAGTTAGTTAAGGGAACCGAGGCCCAGAGAAGTTGAGTAACTCACCAACATTACCAGATTACAAAAATGGCCTCAATACTTGAAGCTTCTCTCACCAACAGGTGGAGTCTACTTTCCCACCCCTTGAATCTGAGCTGGCCCTATGACTTGCTCTGTCCCCAACCATGATGTGAAGAAGCCATGGATAGCCTGCTGGAGGATGAGAGACCATATGGAAGAGAGATGATCTATCATCCCAGCAGAGCCCTCACCCTCACCCCCACCCCCACTCTCAACAATCAGCCCTGAGCCAATGTGAAAACTAACACAGACTCAGAACCACTGTGCAGCTGAGCCCAGTCCAACATGCCAACCCATAAAATTAGTGACCCACAGCTGCTGTCACTAAGTTATTTACAAAGCAAGTAGCAGAATTAGTTTTCAAACCCAGGGAGCCTACGTCCAGACCCTGACCTCTTCTTCACATTCCTGGGAAATAGAGATTTTTCCAGATAATAAGCTTGATTAGTAGATAAGCACGTCCTCTGCGGTAAGGTTTGGAGCCAGACTGTTGATAAGATTTAGGTGTTATCAAGGGGATAGCCAATTCAAAATATCATAAACGGCCTTTGAACAAATGGTGCTGCAACAACTACACATCCATAGGCCAAAAAATGAACCTTGCAACAACTAACCCCCACACCTTACATAAAAATTAACTCAAAGTGATCATGGACTTAAATGTAAAACTATAAAACTTTTAGAAAAAAAGAAAATCTAGGGCTATTCAAAGAGCTCTTAGATGTGACCCCAAAAGTAAAATCTATAAAAGTAAAAACTGATCAATTGGACCTATCAAAAAAATTTTTTAAAAACCCAAACACAAAAAAGCATAAACAAACAAAAAAACTTTCCTGTTAAGAGAATGAAATGACAAACTACAAACTAGGAGCAAATATTTCCCAACCACATATCTGACCAAGGACTAGTCAATTCAATTAAAAATGAGCAAACGACATTTCACTGAAGAGAATATACAAATGGCAAATAAGCACATGAAAAAATGTTCAACATCATTAGCCATTTAGGGAAAAGCAAATTAAAACCACAATGAGATATCATTACACACCTATCAGAATTGATAAAATAAAACATCATCAAAGTTTGGTGCGGATGAAGAGAAAGTGGATCACTCATACATTGCTGGTGTGAATATAAAAAGGTATAGCCACTCTACAAAAACAGTTTGGCAGTTTCTCATAAAACTAACTACCATATGACCCAGCAGTTGAACGCTTGGGCATTTATCTCAGACAAATGAAAACTATGTTCACACAAAATCCTGTACTTAAATGTTCATAGTGGCCTTATTCATAATAGTCAAACAATGGAAACAACCAGCTGCTCTTCAATGGGTGAATGGGTGAATGAAATACGATTCAATAATAAAAAAGAGCCAGTTTACACACACAAATTGAATGAGTCTCTAGAGAATTTTGCTGAGTTTAAAAAAAAAAAAAGCCACCACCACTGGTCACATACTGTATGATTTCATTTGTATAACATTTTGAAATGACAAAACTATAAAAATGGAGAACACAGTAGGATTTGCCAGGGGTTAGAGATAGGGAGGAGGGGGATGGCTTGAAAGGAGAAACCTGAAGGATCCTGTACCTTGACTCTATCAATGGCAATATCCTGGCTGAGATATTGGGAGAAATGGGTAAAGGACATAAGGAATGTCTCAGTATTAATTCTTATAACTGCAAATGAATCTATAATTATCTTAAAATTAAAAATACTTAATTACAAAAAAAGTAATGAACAAAAATAGCCTGTAAAAAATCTAGGGGGAATGAATATAGATAACACTTTATTTAAACAAATTTTTAAAAATATGTTTTTATTGATTTTAGAGAGAGAAAAGGAGAGGGTAAGAGAGAAACATCGATGAGAGAGAAACATCAATTGGCTGCCCCTTTCTGGGGATCGAGCTTGCAACCTGGGCATGTGCCTTGATCGGGAATGGAACCAGTGACCTCTTGGTGCATGGGATGATGCTCAACCAATTGAACCAGGACTACATTTTCATTTTCATTTTGAATTATTTATTTATTTGACATACAAAATGTTGTACACAATTAATGTAAACAACTGGATAACTTTGGAGGTAAGTATATATTCAAGAAACTATCACCATATTCTATTCCATAAAACTATCTATTATGTCCCAAAGTTTCCCTTTCTTGACACGAACACTTAGAACACTTCACCAGTAGGCTGCTTCCTTGCTTACTGTCTTTGTCCAATTCCACCATTTCATATTTTTTCCCTCCTTTAAAACCTTGTTTGAAACACAGGCCGACCGAACTCCCCACATATTTCTAAGTCTCCTATGGTACATACGAGATCTGGAGAGAGCTGTGGATTGAGCCCAGGGCAGGAGACGCTGGTTGAAGGGCTGGAAGCCAGAGCGGCAGACTTGACTCAACATGTTGCGATGTGGTCACTGATCAAAGTGCCTGCAGAATGCATTTTTAAAAAATTGAATAATGAAAAACACTAGACAATTAATTTCCTTTCCTCTTCTTCCCCACACTCAGAATAAAAACTTGACCCTCCTGCTTCAAACTCCTCTGAATTAAGGAAACTCCTACCTCCCCTGTAGAGTGTATAAAAGAGAGAAAAACACAAATGGTTACATCCCACACTCCGACTCAACCTTTCCCGTCCTAGACTGCCTTAGTTTTTGTGTAAGTAAATGGCAATTAAGGATTATGAATATTTTGAGTGACAAAAAAGTCTTTAAGGTATAGTGTTTATCTTCACTACAATTCCTATACCACTGGGGAGTCTCCAACAGATTAAAAACAGATCCAACAGCCCGGGCTGGGTAGCTCAGCTGGTTAGAGCATTGTCCTGATACGCCAAGGCTGTGGGTTCAATCTCTGGTAATGACACAAATAAAAAGCAAACAATGAATGCATCAATGAGTGGAACAACCAATGTTTCTCTCTCTCTCTAAAATCAATCAATAAAATTAAATTAAAAAAACCAACCAGATCCAACATCCAAGAGCCACCTCCACCTTCTGCTATTACCCTCAACAGACCTCTGAAAACCACATACGTGACATGTCAGCTTGATTCCTGCTGACACCAGAAGAGGGAGGAAAGGCCAGAGGATGCTGCCACGTTTCTGCCTGCCATCCACAGGAAACTAAAGCACATTCTTACCTCCCTGGGAGGGAGTGGTAATGTCCGCAAGTGGCTGGCATTTTAAATAACTGTGGGCACATCTCAAGGATGAGAACCTGGCTAGAAACCTCAAGTTAAGAACATGGTGGTTGTGGGCATTTTCCCACCCTAGGTCCTACTTGAGGCTTTAGCCAAAGAATAATTTGTTTCACAAAACGGTAGGGAGCTCCTTCCTATACATAGACAGAGACTAAACCATTTATTATTGTAGCTGGTTCATTGCTGCTTTCACAAGACAAGAAAAATACTGCCCTTCTTCGCTAGCTGGGGCCTTCTTTCAACTTTTGCTCTATGGATTGGTGGACATATTCCTACCCTCTTAAAAGTGCCTCAAAGACTAGCATTTAGGCCCAGGGTGAAGAGAAATAAGGAGTGGGGTGTACTGTTCTTCAATTTATACTGCACAAAGGCACATAAAGGGGAGAGAAGAGATTGGCAGGGTACATCTGTGTAAAAGATATGGCATCTAATAGGCACAGAAAGTGCTAAGTGCTGTCTTTATTGCCTTCTGTGTTTGTGACAATCTGGAAGAGAAGATCCCAAAAGAAAATTATTTGCATAATAATGAAGCGTGATATGAGCCTATGGTCTGTTTGTTTCTTGTGTAAATTCCTTCAGTAATTGTTGCTAAACAATTATTTCCATATGAATTCTCAAAATACTCATAGATGAGCCAAAAGGTAAAATAATCAAGTAGTGACATTAAAATTCCAGTTCCATCTCCTTCATGAACCTTCTCCAGCAACTTTAGCATTCAAAGTTGGGTACCATCCTACAGGTTACCTTTGAACTGGTTCCTGTGTTACTGTTGCGTTTCCCAGCAAGATTATAAACTGACAGTATGGTAAATAGGATGGGAACATGGGCTGTGAAGTCCGAGAGATTTGGGTTCAAGCTCTGTACTTGCTGGCTGTGTGCCTTTTAGAGGATTACTTGATCCTCTATGCCTCGGTTTCCTCTTTTGAAAATCAGGGACAATAACAGTAAGGACCTCATACGATTATTGTGAGAATTAAATGAGACAATGCATGGAATACCTGGGTACAACAGATGGTCAAGAAATATCAGCTTTCCTCCTCCTGTCTTTTAGGCACTAATGGTATCTTACAACCATTTCTTTATTTCCTTCAGGACCTATCACAGGCACAAGTAATTCTATAAATATTCTCTGATGGATACAGTCACAATTACACTTATTGACTGTTTAGTCCTCTCTTATCTAGGAGTAACTGAAAGCTCTGCATGTTTAAGGTCACTAAGTTATTAGGATGAAGGCTGACCTGGAAACCACCCTCCTGGCCTCTCCCCTGCACCGCACAGCCTCTGGTTGACCCCTTCCTCACTGCAATGGATGGTTCACCTGCCGGTTTATTATTCGCTTAACAAGCAGATGGCTGATTCCAGGAAGCAAAGAGTATGTGTGTCTGTGTGTGTCTAGACTCAACGTCATCAGCTGAGAAGCGTTTCCATGTTTTGCATTTCTCAAGTACCTTTTCATAGGTTCTAAACAGAAAGCCCTCACCTTATTGACTTGGACGGAGAACTGAACTTTAGTCCTAGCAGACTTCACCCCGAAATACAGGCTCGGTATATGGTTCACTTAAGACAAATGTCACCGCCTTAGTTACCAAATTGCTGGGGCGGGGGGGGGGGGGGGGGGGGTCGGGGAGGGGAAGGTCTGGGTGCTCCCCGACAGCCCAGGACCAATCACAGACCACATGCCATCCTGCGTGCATCCTGCCAAAGGCGGTGGTGGGCCGATGGAGGGGGGCCTGGCTTTCAGGGAGGATCGCGAAGGCCGAGCGGGCCACGGGGACCTGCACACACAGGCCCCTGAGGTCAGCGTGTGGCCAGTTAACAACCCAGGGTAACCCGACGCCGAGGCAGGTGCCCTGGACCGGAAGGGGCCCGCCGAGCCTTCAAGCATCTGCCTGGACCAGTTCCTCCATGGGGGGGCCCAGGAGGGCCGGGT